GCACCTCGTGCACCTTCCCCAATTCCACCATTCCATCCTGAACATCCTTGCTAATGTTTCTTTGTTTCCTGCAAGCACGCCACATGCTGTCAAGTATTTTTGGGATCAGATCGACCTGTTCTAAAACATTTTCTTCGAATCTGCTAAGTCCCACATCCTCAGAATTTTTGCTTTGGCTCCCTCCAAAATCCTTGGAGCCGTCTGCACCGACTACCGGGGCTTCAACCCGATCAGAATCGGTGGTGGGATTACCCTCTACAGAGGTACCCACTTGGAGTAATTTAATTGATTCTTTATCCATCTCATCATTCAGAAGGACTGCTTTCTGCATTCGACATGCCAACAAATTGGCCTGAAGCTCGCAGGCCGGAATCTTCTTTAGTTGGTTCACAAATGAAGCTTTCATCCCTCTTAAAGAGCCAAGAATCAAAACAATCAATTGAACTCTGTACCCCGGATGCATCTTGCTCAATTCAAATAATAGCTCTTGGTATTTGGTCCGTTTCTCATCCTCCTTTTTATTGATGTTACTCTCGGTAGGAGCCGAAAACTCAACAACATAAATGATCTTACTTTTATGATCCTGGAGGACTATATCAGGCTTAGTGGCACTGATACGATGGGTGGTTGGAAAAGAAATTATATTATTATTATTATTATTATTATTTCACATTATTATAATATAAATAACTAGTTCTATCGATTAAAAAAGTAAAATCCGTTCTTCAGGATTCTTAGAGAAATTTAATTTTCTCGTTATTTTTTTGGGGGGGCGAAAGATATTTTTTTTTCTTTTCGTTTGCAAAAAGAAAAAAGGGTGACGTTAGAAAAATCAGCAAACTGGTGTGAATTCAGATATGAATAAAAAAACTTGCGATTTTTATCACTTGTGCTTGGAATTTAACGATTAAACGTGGTTAACCAGAAAGATGCGAATTACGAGGGAAAACTTTGAAATTGTTATCTAAACTAAATCACAATTTTAATATCCGCTCTCGCAAAAAAGAAAAATTCTCCCATCTACAAATATAATTAAGATTATAATTAATTATAACTACAACGACAATTAATTACATTTTTAACTACTATATTTAAGTGTAATTTTCATAGCTAAAATTAATTATAATTGTTATTAATTTATAATTACGTTTAATTGTGGTTATCCATATTAACTGTAATTGTAATTATTTAAAAATTATTACAATTATGATTAATTGTAATTGTATAATTGTATTATTATTACTGCTTTATAATTAATTACAATTATGAATAATTTAGTGTTACAAAAAATCTATTTCCTTTTTTAATTTAAAATTTTACCTATTATTTATTATAATACTATTATAATCATTATATATTAAATAAAAACATAATTAAATTCTTTTAAATAATAAACAAATAAAATATTAATAATAAATAGTCTTCTATTATTTATTATGACAATAATAGCACAAAATCAACATTTGTTATTTTATTTATTGAATTTATGTGCATGCAATTGTTTCTATTTATATACAGGTCTTTCGATATTTTATTAAATTTTTGTTAATCACAAATATATTAATTTTTTTATTTATAAACATTTTCCGTTATTGTATTAATTTTTTTATTATAAAATGCAGAACGAAAACATTTATATATTTTCCATTATTGTATAATTTTTTTTTAATTTATAAAATTCAGTACAAAACTCTGTGTATATGTTTGTTATTTTATTTCCATTCATTCCTATATATTCTATTCATTTCTCTTTTTAAATTGTAAAATACAGGACAGAAATTTGTTTTTCTTTCTATTTATAAATTTTTGTTTTGTTATATCAATTATTTTTACATATAAAATTCAGCAATTAAGAGATAAAAAAATGTTGAACTAAAATTTACATTTTAAAAACCGTAAATATATATTTCGATATGTATATGTATATAGAAAAAAGAGAAAATTAACAATAGTTGAGATTGACTAAGATTAAAAGTGCAACGATTGGTAATTTCCGCTCGATTTCCTCTTTATGGTATTGGTTATATGTGAATTCTGACCCTTTATAACTAGTACTATACATATATATGCGAATATAGTCCATATAAATCCATTCGGTTACAGAAAATGATCCCTCTTAATGAATCGGATTTTCCGCCTTTTCTCCCTTCATATTTCTTTCTATGTATTTAGAAAAATTGCTAAAAAAACATTATAGATTACTAAGCTTTTCATCGGTATGACAATAAAATTAAAACATAAAAACTTATTAAATTGTTTTACAGTGTCCTATAATTTAATTTATCAGAACCAAATTTATTATTTTTATGACAAAAAATTTAAAAAAAAATGTTTTCGCAAAAACAACTTATTTATTATTTTACACATAGGCAATAAAAAAATCCAATCGTACAAAATACTAAATATTTACAATAACTAATTAACTAAGAATTAATTAAAAATAAATATTATTAATATAGTACCTATTATTACAATATTGTCGACGTGGCAAGCCTCGAATAAATGCTTTCTTGCCACCCTCATTGTAAAATATTAAATAATTTATTAATAGTGTATTATAATTAAGAAATATATTATAATATAGTGTGTATCGTAAATAGTTCGACGCGTGCGACGTGAGACTGACTTTAATATAAATTTCGTTTCGCTACAAATTATTCTTCTTCGTGATTTACGGCGCAAAAGTCCAAAATTAAATTCTCTAAATTTACTCACACATTCAAACATATTTGCGACGCAACATTTATTATTATTATTATTATTAAAAAATTAAAATTAAAATATATGGTAAGTCCGGGGGAGATGGCCATATGGGAGAGACGGCCAGTTGAAATATTTTACATACCTATATATAAAATATATATATTAAAATATATAATATATATATATATATATATATATATATATATATATATATATATATTAAAATAATATAAAAATTAAAAAAAATTATTAAAAATTAAAAAATTTAGTAAATTTTCATAATTTGTACCTCATTTCAAAACTTAGTACAACAAACTAAAAAAAGTAAATAAATAACATCAATAATTGTTATAAACTCTAATAAAAATTTTTTAGAATTGTTAGAAAATAAATAATAACACAATATAGCAGAAAATAAGTACACAATTCTATTTCAATTATTAATAAAATACTAAATAATTAAATTATATTAATTATTAATTAATACTTATTAAAAAAATAATATTGAGATTTTATTAAAAAATTATGATGAAGAAATAGAAATCATGCAAAAAATACTAAAAAATTTTCCCCATTATGTTACGAAACTTAAATTCTGAATTTTATTTTTAATTAAAAAATAAAAACTACAAATATTTTAAGTCTTTTTAAAAAAATATGCTTAAGATTTTGTTAAAAATTGTCGATGAAGAAATAAAATTTACGTAAATTTTTTTATTTACATATAAATAAAATAAAATGGAAGTTTTGTTAAAAAATTGTGATTGGAAAATCAAAAAAACTGTATAATTTCGATCTGATAAGAAAAGTGTTTAAAAAAAACAATAGCATTTACATAATTAATTTTAAAATGTAAATTAGAGTACTATTTATAATTTTGACGACCAAGTCGTAACATCATTATTAATTTTTTCAAAAAATTCAAAATTTAACACTTATTTCTTTTTGAAAATTAAAACTATTTTTGACTTTTTTTGGATGCGGAATTTAGTAAACTTTAATAGTTATTTTCGTAACAAGGGCGCAAAATAGGTGATTGCGACGATGGCGAAATGAAGGGACCGAGGGGACACAATTTCGCGCCCGAGGCTCCAAATTCACTTTTACTCCATTTTTATTTTCACTCCACTTTCACTTTTACTCAAATTTTATATTCACTCCACTTTCACTTTTACTCAATTTTTAATTTCACTCCATTATCACATCACTTTCACTCCCTTTCACTTTTACTCAATAATTTTTTTACTGCACTTTCACTTTTACTCAAATTTTGTTTTCACTCCACTTTCACTCTACATTTACTTTCACTCAAATTTTATTTTCACTCCACTTTCACTGTCCAGTTACTCCACTTTCAATTGTACTTAAATTTCATTTTGCTTCCACTTTGTCTGAAAATTACACACTTTGTCAAGTTAGTTCATTTTCATTTTTACTTAAATTTCATTTTGCGTCCACTTTGTCTAAAAATTTATTTTCACTACACTTTCACTTAAATTCTATTTTTACTCCACTTTCACTTTTACTCAAATTTTATTTTCACTACACTTTTACTTTATTTCCACTCAAAATTTGTTTTTACTTCATATTCACTCAAACTTTATTTTCACCCCATTTTGATTTACACTTAAATAATTAGAAAATGTGGAGTGTAAATGAATGTGAAATGGTATTGAAAATAAAATTTAATTAAAAGTGAAGTGAGAATAAAATTTAAGTGAAAATGAAAGTGGAGTGAAAATAAAATTTGAGTAAAAATAAAATTGGAATGGAGGAGGAGTGAATATAAAATTTGAGTGAAAGTGATTGTGAAGTGAAAGTGAAGTGAAAATAAAATTTGACTAAAACTGAAATTGGAGTGAAAGTGAAGTAAACATAAAATTTGAGTAAAAGTGATAGTGGAGTGATCGTGGAATGAAATCGGAGTGAAATTGCATGATTGACCCCCAGATCAAATTAGACCATTTCAACCCCCTCCCTCTCGTACATTTTTAATTATAATTTTATAATTTTTGTGGTTTAAGTAGTCACTAATAGTACTAAAAGTTTGTGGAAATATTATTCCGATTTGACAACTTTTACTTTTGAGATTGGTACACTTTAGAAAATTTGCCCATTAATATTATTATTAATATTTAGAATGAATAGCTAAATAATGATTATAATAATAAACAAATAATAATTATATTTTTAATTTTAAAATTAAATTTCTCTGTAAGACTTAATTGTACCTATGTAATATTGTATAATGTAATGTAATAATTTATTGTAATATAAAAAAATATATTTTTTTACAGTCAAAATTGAAAACGAATGCTGTTAAGCCAAGGAATGGAGGGGTCGTGGCAGAGGGAGCAGCGAAAGCACTGCCATATTCTGCTCAACCCTTTGTCAAACGCAAAGGAGAACAAAAAACAAGCTGCATGTAAGTTTCATTTTTTTTGAAAATTATATAATTTTTTTCTTTTAATTTCTTTTCAATTTATTCTTACTTTATACTATTTAATTCCAATGAAATTTTATTGAAAGAATAAAAAAATAAATAATTAAATAAAGAATATATTAAAATTAAAAAAAGTTCTTTAAGACTCTTACAAAATATATATTGTTATATATATTGTTAGTACTTTGTAATTCTTTACTACTCTCATTTCCTGTGTATTTCTTCTTTACACGCACACAATCGACTCTATTCCTCGCTATTGTATTGAGTGCAACAAAGTGAACTAACTTTTCTAATTACGAAAATGTAAATTTAATCATTCTAAAGTTATTTCCCCGGCAAAATAATCTTATCACAATACACTTTTGTTTCACTCTTGAAATTAGAATTGTATTGTTTCAATTTCTTATTTCTTTTTCCCTGCTTCTTTAATTGGTTCTATATTAAATTTCATGTTTTTTATTTTAAACATTTTTAATTAGTCTTTATCCAAAAGTTTTTTTAAACTACTTTTTCGCATTGAAAATATAAAAAAAAGTGAAAATATATTTTTTATTTTTTAGTATTCTCTGAATTTGAATTAATATAAAAATTATTGGAAATTTATTTTAATTATTATAGGAAACAATAAATAATATAAAAATAAAAATTCTTATTTTCTTATCATCATTAATAAAGTAATTTTTATTTATACAGATAAAGAAATAAAGTAACTTTCACCACTTTTTCATACTAAAACTTAAAATGTTAAGAATTTCTGATCATTTTTGGCAATTTTTATTATTTCCAGAGTAAATTTTACTATTTTCAAACTAAATTCTAATAACAATAATTAGTCAGCTATGCGCTCAAAATAAATTTTACTAATTTTTGTTATTAATATTTACTTTGAAAATAGTAAAAATTACCAAAAGAGCGAAGAAATCACAGTATAAAAATTTTAAAAATAATTCAAATCTAAAGATGAATTTTTTTTATCGAATTGAGCGTAAAATTTAATTTTTTCTACACATTTAAATAGAATTTTCGCAATTTTTATTTTTATCCCTTGTAAAATATTTTTACGCACATAACAAAATTTTTTCTATTCAAATTTAATTATATTCTTTCAAGAAATTTTTTTTGATAAAAAGAAAAATCTTTTGAAAAAGACTTTTTCAGACAAAAATTTTCCTTCTGAAAAATAAAACTAGTATAAAATATAACCAATATACCTAATATTAAAATATATTAAATTTCTATTTTCAGATTTCCCTAAAGCTATGAACTTTGAAATGAACGATAATTTTTTTATATTTAAATATTTTAAAAAATTACTATACAAAAGGGAATAATGATAAAAATTAAACATTATTTATTTTATACCTACGCTGATTATGATTCTGTAATCAGTTATTAAAAATTTTAAATGCAGATCCCATATGGAGGTCAACTTAATTTCAAAGAATTAACCAAATTTGCTTAAAACCTCTTACTTGAGGGTTTTCTAGGTCGCCGATTACAATTCTGATGTTAGTTTTCAAAAATAAAAAATGGTGGCTCTAATATGGCAGATTCAAAAATTAAAAGACTTAAATTTTTTTTAATTAAAAGACTTTTTAATTAAAAATTAAAAGGTTTTACTCGAAACTTGATATTTACGGGTTTTTAGGGGCACTGATTACGAGTCTGAAGTCTTATTTAAAAAATACAAAATGGCGTATCCAATATGGCAGACGAAGAAAATTAAAAATTAATCGTTTTTGATTGTAAGCATTATTTAGGCTACGAACAATGACCAATTTGATTGACTTTTATCTTCTCGTCTGCCATGTTGGATCCTCCAATTTGTTTTTTTTCAAATCGATTTCAGATTCATAATCAGATACCCTAAAAACACCCCAGTAATAAGTTTTTAGTTAAATCAACTATACCCAAAAAAACTCACAAATACCAATTTGCAGGAAAATACAATAATTTTTTTCAAAATTCGTCTGCCATATTGGATCCGACATTTTGAAATTTTAAAAACGGACTTCAGATTCGTAATCAGCGATCCCGAAAACCCCTAGATAACAATTTTCAGGAAAATTCATTATAATTTATTTTCTCAAATTCGTTCGCCATATTGGATCCGCCATTTTCAATTTTTGAAAGTGGACTTCAGATCGGTAATCAGCTACTCCAAGAAACACCAAAAACAAATTTTTAGGAAAATACAACAATTATTTCAAAATTTGTCCGCTATATTGGATCCGACATTTTTAATTTTGTAGTTCTAAATTCTTATATGCAATCAGCGATACTTATTTATATAGAAATCTAAGAGTTTTTTAAATTTGTCCGTCTTTTTAATTAATAATTAAAATTTTTCTAATTTGTACACTAATTTTATTTGTGGACGTCCACATGAAAAGGGCCCATTTTGGCACTATTGGAGTTATCTATATGGGCGTATTCCTGGCAAAATTTGAAAAATTTTGAGTGGTCTGAGAACTTTTTTAGTTAAAAATTCGCTGAGTTACGGAATTTCAAAGTTTAGAACGCCAAAGACCTCATTTCGAGAAAAACGGAATTAAAGATTGCGATACAAACTAATTGTTGTATCTCTGGTTCTCCTTGGAAGTTATTCAGATAAGAATTGTTTCCAGTTCAGGGCACCTTGAAGACAAAAAACCAACAGGTTTTAAATTTTTAAAACCACCCCCCCCCCCCTCTTAATTTTGAAAATAACGAAAAACCGACAATATGGGCCCTTTTCTAAAAAGGACAGTTTTTCTATTAAAAAACCATTTTTTTACAAGATTAATGATTAGATACAATTTTATTGTGTCATTTGAAGAAAAAGAATAGATATTAAACTGATTTAAAATTTTTTGACAGTCTCTATTGTGAAAAAATTGACGCAATATCCAAATTTTCATTTCGACAATTACGAAAAAAAGACTCTAACATCAATATCTCTGGTTCTTCTGGGAAGTTATTCAGATAACAATTGTTTACAGTCCAGGACACCTTAAAGATAAAAAATCAAGAGGTTTTAAATTTTTCCACACCTCCATTTTTAAAATACGGATTAATTTTGCAAATGACCGAAAAAATGGACCCTTCTCATTTTTCTAAAGAACCAATGAAATCAAACAGTTAAATTTGAACAATACACCAAATAATATTTATAATGTCTCATAAATATTTGAATTAAAACTTAGTCTTTGGTGTATGAGCCAAAATAAAAAAAATAAAAATATAAGGTTTTTTTTAAAACATAACACACAATTCACTGAACATAGTTTATTGAAAAATAAAAATGAAAGCACTCCACAGTATTTTACAATAATAATACAAATTAAATTTAACTATATTCACACACATACGATTACAATATATAAAGACAAATCTATTGAAAAAAACAAAGTTTCTATCGCTCGCACGCTAAACTAGTACTAATTATATTCGACAAATTTACATTTATTCTCGTCAGTCGGTTTTATTCGGATAATTTCGTCGTTACTTAATTTCGATCATCGACATTCTGCCCCCTTTTGAACGATTACGTTCAATAAATACATTTTTTGTCCTACCTGCACGGAAAGTATGTCATTTCGGGCACTTAAGGCGGGCGCAAAGTAACACATTACGCCCGGGAGTGGGGGAAGCGGGCGGAAAAGTATTTTGCGCCCGCTTGTATGACGTCAGCGGGCGGTAAAGTATTTTCCGCCCGCTTCCCCTACCTCCGAGCGGGCGGAAAAGTATTTTGCGCCCGCTTGTTAATTATTCGATTTTCTTCATTAAAATGCGACATTTTCGACTTTCTTTTTGTGTTGACTATAAAACTGCAAACATTTTCAACTTGTTTTATTTTGTCTATAAAAATTTGCAATTTTTTTTTATTTTCTCTAAAAAAATAATGAGACATTTGGTTTTGTTCCCATTTCGTTTATCAAAATTGTCAATTTTAAAAGTTCTTGTTTCAGTTTTGTTTAATTATTAATTACTACGTTCTAAATAAATACTATGTTTCCAGAATACATTGTTTTTTATTTCTATTTTAAAACTTCTATCATTATAGACTTCATTCGATATAATGTTTATATAGAGCTTAATTTTTAACTAATATGAGCGTTTAATCGTGCGTGCCCTCTATGCCATACTTTCCATGCAGTTAGGACAAAAAATTATGTTCGCATCATGGGCGCAAAGGTGATTACGACTTTGGCGAAATCACCTATTTTGCCCCCTTGTTACGAAAATAACTATAATATTTCTATCGGGAGCGGTGATATTTTTTTTACACCTCTGTCTAATTCACCATTTTGGGTCTTTACTTTTACCACTCGTACTACACCATCGTCTCCTGGTCGTACTTGAGATACTCTACCCAAACTCCATCTCAATGGAGGAAGATTGTCATCCCTTAAAACAACCAACGTGCCCTCCCTTATCACTTCCGGTGATCCCGTATGCCATTTTGATCGAACGTTAAGCTCATTTAAATATTCTCTGGACCAGCGTTTCCATAAGTCACATTTCATTTTTTGTAAACATTCCCATCGCGATAATCTATTCATAGGAGTTTGAGTATAGTCCCAAGCAGGAATTGTTGTCAAAGGTTCTCCTATTAAAAAATGACCTGGAGTTAATACGCTTACATCATTAGGATCGGTAGTCATCGGAGTAAGAGGTCTCGAGTTTACAATTGCTTCGATTTCACACATATATGTTCCGAGTTCTTCGTATGTTAACAGTGTTTCGCCAATCGTTCGCCGTAAATGATGTTTGAGCGACTTCACCGCCGCCTCCCAGATGCCACCAAAATGAGGAGTTCGCGGGGGTGAAAAATACCACTCAATATTTTGATCCGCTAATTTTTGAGATACAATTTTATTGTGTTCATCTGTATTGAGGAGACGGTAAAGGTCGCTCAACTCATTTTGGGACGCATGATTATTCCCCAAATGTTATTTTTCCGAAATGTCATTTTATCGAACTGCACTTTTGCGAATAGTCATTTTTGCGAAAAGCCATTTTTGCGAAATGTCATTTTTACGAATAGTCATTTTTGCGAAAAGCCATTTTTGCGAAAAATCATTTTTACGAATTTTCATTTTTGCAAATTGTCATTTTTGCGAATCGCCATTTTTACGAATTGTCACTTTTGCGAATTGACATTTTTACGAATCGCCATTTTTACGAATTGTCACTTTTGCAAATCGACATTTTTGCGAATAGCCATTTTTGCGAATAGCCATTTTTGCGAAAAGTAATTTTTACGAATTGTCGTTTTTGCGAATTGTCATTTTTGCGAAAAGCTATTTTTGCGAATTGTCATTTATGCGAATTGTCACTTTTGCGAAACGCCATTTTTACGAATTGTCACTTTTCCGAAAAGTCTTTTTTGCGAATTGTCATTTTTGCGAAAAATACAATAGTGAAACTATATATACCTACAAGTTTACTATTGTATTTTTCGCAAAAATGACAATTCGCAAAAATTACTTTTCGGAAAAGTGACAATTCGTAAAAATGGCGATTCCCAAAAGTGACAATTCGCATAAATGACATTTCTCAAAAATGAAATTTCGCAAAAATGACAATTCGCAAAAACGACAATTCGTAAAAATTACTTTTCGCAAAAATGGCTATTCGCAAAAATGACATTTCGTAAAAATGTCGATTCGCAAAAGTGACAATTCATAAAAATGTCAATTCGCAAAAGTGACAATTCGTAAAATGGCGATTCGCAAAAATGACAATTCGCAAAAATGAAAATTCGTAAAAATGATTTTTCGCAAAAATGACTATTCGTAAAAATGACATTTCGCAAAAATGGCTTTTCGCAAAAATGACTATTCGCAAAAGTGCAGTTCGGTAAAATGACATTTCGGAAAAATGACATTTGGGGAATAATCATGCGTCCGACTCATTTTTTGCGCCTATAAAATTAGAACCATTATCAGAGTATAATGCTTTAGATTTTCCTTTTCTTGTGAAGAATCGTCGTAGACTTGATAAAAAACATTCCATCGATAAATCACTCACCAATTCTATATGCATCGCTTTAGTGCTCATACACACGAATACAGCCGCGTACACTTTAATTTTATTTCGATTTCTAAATTTCTTTTCTTTTATGTAAAACGGGCCGCAGTAATCCATACCAGTATTTTCAAAAACACGAGCGGCAGTTACGCGTACAGTTGGTAAATTTCCCATTTGATATGACATTTCTTTAGAATGAACTCGGAAACATTTTACGCATTTGTTTATAATTTTACGTACTGCTAATCTACCGTCGATTGGCCAAAATCTCATACGCACTGCATACAACGTTGCATTATTACCGGCATGCATATTTTGTTCATGAGTATCGCGGATGATTGATTCGGTAAGAGGATCATTTTTTGGTAGCAGCATCGGGTGTCGTTGATCGTAGGACAATTCTGCTCTCTTTATTCTTCCCCCCACTCTTAAAATTCCCTCATGCATTACAGGATTCAGGCGAAGTATTTTTGATCGACTCGACAGACATTCATTCCTTGATAGTTGATTAATCTCGCTGTTGAACTCTTCCATCTGGACCAATGAAATAATTCTATTGAATGCTGACTGAATCTCTGCTGGTGTTAATATCTCGGAAAATTTCAATTTACCACGTGCTCTCTCTGCAATTCGTAAACAATATGCCACCACATGGATCAATTTTCTGAGAGATGAATATTGAGACCATAAATCCATTAGAGTTTTTGCACTTTTTATTGTCAACACAACATTTTTCTTTCTTTCCGGCAATTCCGTTTGAATGAATTGACCACCAGGCCAGGTTTCTTCCGATGATTCCAACCACAAAGGTCCATTTTTCCATAGTTTGTTTGATATAAATTCTGCGGGCATTTGACCCCTAGATACAAAATCTGCGGGGTTATCCTGTGAGATGACGTGTTTCCAACATTCAGGTGCAGTAAGGGTTTGTATTTCGGCGATGCGGTTGGCTATGAATGTGTTGAATTCATGAGGAGAAGATGCAATCCAGTTCAACACTATGGTTGAATCTGACCAAAGATGAACTGCACTTACATTGAATTTTATTGCATTCTTAACAGTTGTTATTAACTTTGCCAACAAAACTGCTGCGCAAAGTTCAAGTCGTGGCAATGTTACTGTCTTCAATGGTGCAACTCTTGATTTCGCACATAATAATATAGTACGATGTTTTCCGTCATTCGAACACCTGATGTAGACGCAGGCGCCGTATGCTTTTTGACTAGCGTCCGCAAAACCGTGGGTTTGAGTTTCGTCTGAAGGCTGACTCCTGACCGCTCTCTCGATTTCCCAATTGCTCAACTCCACCAATTGACGTCAGGATAGGCGCGAATTCTAATAATAATTTAGTTGGTATCAGATCGTCCCACGAATTATTTGTTTTCCACAGTTCTTGCATTTTTACTTTTGCAATAACTGTAACTAGTGCAATTAATCCTAACGGATCATAAAGCATCTTTCCAATTTGAGAAAGCATGATTCGTTTTGTAGTAGGTTTTTGATCCAGCGTTGGTTTCACGTCAAAATGCAATGTATCGTTACGAGAATTCCACATCACACCAAGAGTTTTTGAACTTTGATCCACGTCACTTGTCAGCATTTCTGAGTCTTCTGAATTTTGAGCAATTTCTTGATGATTTGACCTCCATTTGCAAATATGAAGTCCTGCTTTTTTTGTCAACTCGATTAATTCTTCTTTGATTTGTTTTACTTCCTCTATAGTGTCGGCTCCCGTGAGACAGTCATCCACATAAAAATCGTTTTTTAACACCTCAGCAGCGATTGGAAATGCATGTCCTTCATCTTTTGACAATTCTTCCAAACAACGAATAGCCAAAAACGGCGCTGCAGAAGTTCCATATGTCACAGTATTCAGTTCATAGGTCTTGATCGGTTCGTCCTCGTTGTATCGCCATAATATTTTTTGGAATTTTCGATCTTGAGAATGTATCAAAAACTGACGATACATTTTTTCAATATCTCCGCTCAAGGCTATGATGTGCTGTCGAAATCGTAACATTAATGCTATTATGTTGTCCTGGATAGTTGGTCCTGTCATCAATGCGTCATTCAAGGACGTTCCGGTATCTGTTTGGCACGATGCATCGAAAACTACTCGAAATTTAATAATGTCATCTATCATTTTCAGAACCGCTTGGTGTGGTAAATAGTATCCCTCGAACTTATCTGCAATTATTTGTTTCATGTGATTCAGTTGTTCGTATTCTTTTATAAATTTTGTATATTTTTCTTTTAATTCGGGGTTTTTTGACAATTTCCTTTCGAGCATAAAAAATCTTTTCCGAGCTATTTCGTATGAGTTTCCTAAATTGTTTTTATTTTCATTGAATGGCAGTCTCACTATATATTTTCCTTCATTGTCACGAGTTACATTGTTTACAAAATGTTCCTCACTAGCCTTTTCCTCCTTACTTAAAAATTTCCTTTGTTCCCCCTCTTCGATTTTCCAAAACTTCTCCAACTGCACAGATAGATCGTCTCTTATTAAATTACAGGATATTTTTTGTATTTTAGTATTTTTTCCCAGCTTCCCAATTACTATCCATCCCAATTTTGAACTTAATAGAGAAGTATGCGGGAGTGCAAGAGGAATTTTATTATACCCTAAGATTTCATAAAATAACTCCGCTCCAATTAAAGCGTCAACAGTTGCCGGTTGGTGAAATTGAGGATCAGCAAGTTTAATATAGGAAGGAACTTTTAATTGATTTTTATTTATAGGACTTGATGGAAGTACTCCTGTTATGTTAGGAAGGATAAGGAAGGATACATTAACAGCATAATTTGAGACTTGCGATTCCATTGTTGTCTCTACCCAATCACCGCTATTCACCTCGTTGCTATTTAATACCTCAATCGCTGAGCGCAATCGTCGTCTTTTTAAATTTAAAATTTTTGCAAAATTATCCGTCATGGTATTCGGTTGCGAGCCGCTGTCTAAAAGAATTCTACAATTTACTCTAATACCTTTATCATTTACTAAATTAACAATAGCGGTTGATAGGAGAACCTTTGATGAATCAGTCAAATGCATATTTACTCCTTGATTATTGTTTACAATTTCCCTATCAGAATTTTGACTTATTTCCATTCTTTGTTGCATGTGCAATAGCGTGTGATGTCGTTTATTACAAACATTACAGTTTCTCGATTTACATTCACTTATCAAGTGATTTCCACGCAAACAATTAAAGCAAAGACCCCTCTTTTTTACCGTTTGAAACCTCTCACCAACAGATAATTTTAAAAAATCTAAACAATTATGCAGCATGTGATCTTTATTACACAATATACATTTAAAATTAGGCTGCATACTTAACAATGTCTTACTATTATTTTTCTTTTCAGTAAATGAATTCTTATAATTTGAATTTATTATTTTGTTTTTATTATCATTGGTTTCAGGGTTCAAGGCCTCGAGAACTTGACAACGTTCGCGTAGAAAGTCAGTCAACTTCTGTAGTTTCGGCATCTCGCTACCTTTAACCGACCGTTCCCACTCCCCCTTCTGGTTTCTCTATCAAGCTTTAATACAAGAAAACACACAAGAGGGGTATCCCAACTCTCTGTCGGCTCGCCTAACATTGTCAAAGCGCGAATGTGTCGTAAAATTGTATCTAGTAAATTTCTCAATCCCGATGCTGAGTCTTTGTTTGGTATTGGTAACTCGAGGAAAGCCGTCATATTATTTTGTATAATTACTCGTTTATTGTTATATCTCTCCTCTAGTAACCCCCACGCCATTTCGTAATTAGTCTCAGAGATTTCGATATTTTCTATTATTCGCGAAGCACTTTCCCTTAAATAAGACTTTAAATATCTGAATTTTTGTACTTTTGGAATGTTATTGTCTTTATGAATAACAGCTGTAAACAAATCTTTAAACCCGAGCCACTCTTCATACCCCCCAGAAAACGTAGGAAGGTCGAGTTTAGGTAGCGGATATCGCATTCCACTATGAGAATTTTCATTTTCCGTAACAACCGATCGCGAAGATGCTAAACTTCTCAAATGTGTTAACTCAGCTTCGCGCTGCGCACTCAATTCTGTAAACAAATCTTTAAACCCGAGCCACTCTTCATACCCCCCAGAAAACGTAGGAAGGTCGAGTTTAGGTAGCGGATATCGCATTCCACTATGAGAATTTTCATTTTCCGTAACAACCGATCGCGAAGATGCTAAACTTCTCAAATGTGTTAACTCAGCTTCGCGCTGCGCACTCAATTTTGCTTGTAATTGACTAATTAGTACTCGTTGTTGTGTCAACTCGTCATTCTCCGTAACCATCTCGTGATCCATACGTTCTTTAATCATTTTCGTGGCTTTCGCTACATATTTAAAATAACAATTTTCAAACTCTGTTCGATCGATTTGGCGATTTGGCCCCGGAGCCAATATTTCTAGTGTAAGTTGAGCTTTCTCAAATTCGCTCCATACTTCCTCAATTTTTTGTAGCCGCAGATTAATCTCCTCGACAGAACCAGCATTTTCATCATTAACACATTTTTCGAGAAAAGTATTAAATTTCGTTAATTTTGTTTTGCAATTAGTACGGCTCTGTCGAGCAGCGTCAACTTCGACTACAGACATAATATAATCAAACAATTACAAATCAATATAAAATAAATATATACAACGTTCTTACTTGAAGTCGATGAGTCACATTAAAAACAATAGCTTACAATTTCCAAAGTATTGTTGATTTGAAATAGCTGCCTCGTATTCGTTTTCGTTTTTCAGCTATTTCCTTAATGAATATTCTCTCTGCAATTCATACGAAGTTGAAGATGAGACCTATGTATGCACTGCTTTCCAAAAGTATTTTATTTTCTGTATATGATGTTAATTAAGCAGCCTTGTCGAATTCGTTTTTCCTATTGAGTACTCGATAGCTTTCTTGTGCGAGCGATCCGGCTCGAAGGACCATGAACAATACATAATGTCTCACAAATATTTGAATTAAAACTTAGTCTTTGGTGTATGAGCCAAAATAAAAAAATAAAAATATAAGGTTTTTTTTAAAACATAACACACAATTCACTGAACATAGTTTATTGAAAAATAAAAATGAAAGCACTCCACAGTATTTTACAATAATAATACAAATTAAATTTAACTATATTCACACACATACGATTACAATATATAAAGACAAATCTATTGACAAAACAAAGTGTCTATCGCTCGCACGCTAAACGAGTACTAATTATATTCGACAAATTTACATTTATTCTCGTCAGTCGGTTTTATTCGGATAATTTCGTCGTTACTTAATTTCGATCATCGACAAAATTATCGATAAATTAATGAAAACCGCATTATTCGACTTGACAAAACATGTAGATTGATAATAAAAAATAAAAAAAAATTAAGATTTTGCATGTTTTGTATATTAATTTTGGAAAGAATAATTTTACTTTTAATGGAAATTGTAAATCTTAATGGTTTCTATTATGGCACAGAAAAAAAACCGATGAAAAAAAATATGTTTTTGCAAAAAATACACATTATAGTGCTAAATTCTCAATCGTCTGGCATGTCCTTTTGGGAGAATGACAGTTCATATCCTTATTAATAAAATCAGACTTTTGTCTGTACATTGCATAGAATTCAAAATTTCTATTATATTCCTTCTTCTTACACTCTAAGGAATGCGAAAATACTATTAAGAAAATTATGTGTGTATGTGTATATGTGTGTATGTGTGTATGTATGTCCGCAAATTTTCGACCGCGTATCACGGAAAAACGGTTCGATCGTTTGAAGTGAAACTTGGCAGTCTTTTAGGCATTAGCCTAACTTAAAATCCTAGAGATAGTAGATTAAAAAATATTAATATGGACGAAAGTTATGCCATTTTTTCAAAAATTCGAAAATTCGAAATTTTTAGTTTTTTCATATACTTTAGTGAATTGTACTTAAACTTGGTACAGGGTTAATTTTAGTGTTTCTTATGAAGATTTAATCGTCAGAATAATAAAATTTTGAATAACAAATAAAAAGTGTTAGATTTAAATATTGAAAAATTAAAAAGTTTAAAAATTGAAATTTTTTTGTAATTAATTTTTATACGGTTGTATTTCTTAGGTCAACAATAAAAATTTGTTGTTGAAATCATAAGTTTACTTTCTTAAAAGAATTCTATTAGGTCAGAATATTAACAATATCCATATAATTAATATGAGACTTTTGTCAGTATGTTGTACAGAATTCAAAATTGCTATTATATTTTATTAATTAATGATCAAAAAATGAAAAACTCAAATTTCATTCTGATGACTAAATTGTAATAAAAAATACTAAAATTAACCCTGTATAAAATTTAAGTAAAATTAATGACAATAATTATTTCAAAAGATATATTTTGAATTTTAAAAATTTTGAAAATATATAGCACTAGCTGTCATGTCGTACCCGTCTTCGACGGGTTTTAGTTTCTACCAATACATTTAACAATGTTTCTACCAATCTGGAAAATCAAAAATACCCGGGATAAATTAATTAATAATTAATAATTAATAATTAATAATTAATAATTAATAATTAATAATTAATAATTAATAATTAATAATTAATAATTAATAATTAATAATTAATAATTAATAATTAATAATTAATAATTAATAATTAATAATTAATAATTAATAATTAATAATTAATAATTAATAATTAATAATTAATAATTAATAATTAATAATTAATAATTAATAATTAATAATTAATAATTAATAATTAGTTAATTAATAATAATTAATAATTAGTTAATTAATAATTAGTTACCATTAGCTATTTCGGTAGTATAATTATACTATTTGAATAGTCTCCACCCTTTAGCAAAAAATCAAAAATTATCAAAAATTCGAGAAACCGAATTTCTTAAAATTTAACATTTTTTTCTTCTCTTTTATATCATTAAGCTTCATTATTTTTGTACTCTTAAAAAATACTTTACTAATATTTAATAGTCTCCACCCTTTGGTAAAAAATCTAAAATTATGGAAAATTAGCAAAAATTCATAAAACCGAATTTATTAAAATTCAACATTTTTTCTTCTCTTTTATGGCTTTTGGCTTCATTATTTTTGGGCTCTTCAAAAATACTTTACCTAATTTGTTATCTCCACCCTTTGGTAAAAAATCTAAAATTATGGAAAAATAGCAAAAATGCAAAAAAATGAATTTCTTAAAATTAAACATTTTTCCTTCTTTTTATGGCATTTAGCTTTATTATTTTTGTGCTCTTAAAAAATACTTTACTTATTCAATAGTCTCCACCCTTCGATAAAAAATCTAAAATTATGGAAAATTATCAAAAATTCAAAAAACCGAATTTCTTAAAATTCAACATTTTTCCTTCTTTTTTATGGCATTTAGCTAATTATTTTTGTTTAATGTAGCAAATTTTTTACTTTACATACTGATCTTTAAATAAAAAACTTTAATAACTTTTCCTGAAAAGCTTGCTTAAAGATTAAAAATCACTATTTTCTTAGAAAAAAGTTGATCTAAAAAAACGAAAAAAAATTTCAAAATACATCTTTTTTAAAATTTTTATCGTAGAAATGGGTTGTATTTATCTGAAAAAGTTAGCTAAGGATAGTTTTTTCATTCATTTTACAAAAGATAAAAAATTTGCATTTTTTTTTTTGAATTTTTTGGAAAAATGTCATAACTTTTGTTCAAGTTAATATTTTTTAATCGGATAAGGCTATGATTGTAAGTTACTTTAATACCTAATAGACTGCCAAATTTCACTTTAATTGGTTGAACCGTTTTCAATTGATGCGCGAACAAAGTTTTGCATACAGACAGAGACAGACAGACAGAAATTTTTTTTACATTTTTAGAATTCTAATGTCTCAAAACGAAAAAATATATAAAAATTTTCATAAGTTTGATTTTCAAGTTTGAAGCAATGTACAGATAGTAATCTGATTTTATTAATATAGATAATGTTCGTTCACATTAATAACTTTTAGTTTACTATAGCTACACTAAAAAAAGTTATATGATTCAAGTAATTATAATTATTTGAAAAATAATATCTTATTTAAAAAGTTTTTATTTCGATCTAATAAGAATTTATTTCGTTTAAATAATTTTATTTAGTTGAATCAAATAAATCTTAATTGGATTAATTAAATAAATACTTGACTCTAATAAATGAATTTATTTAACACAAATAATTTCTAAATTTTATATTTTTTCATGGATTGCTTCTAAACTTTCTATAGTTGAGTATTACATGTTATTTAGTCACATTTTAGCATAATTTTTCAAAAATACTTTCTTATAACGAAGATGTAAGTATAAAAATGTTTTGAATATCAAAAAATTGAAAAAATTATAATTGATACCAATTACTAAGAAGCTTAATTCAGTAGTATTTGTGGGCTCTCTGATTTAACTTTTAGAGATATCTTGATCAATGTAAAGACAAAAGTTAAACACGGTGTTTATTTTGGTTTAAAACAATTTCCGGCTTTGTCCAAATTTTTCCTGGTTAGTAAACCAGGAAAAATTTGGACAAAGTTTTTTTTTTCTGGACGGGTTTTTTTTAATAATACATTTAACAGGGTGCTTACCAACCAGAAAAGACGTAAAATATCAGGGAATTTAATGTAACCGAGAAAAACTGGATCTACTTGCTATACAATTAGTTCGAATTAGACTGTACTATAACTCAAAAAACTGGAGGAAATTTTAGATTTATTTTATTACATTATATTGATTGAAGTACTACAAATTGAGAAATATTGTTTTCTGCATTTGAATTAGTTAAAAATAACTAATTTGATAATAAAAAGTCGGTCACTGTTTCAAATGGTATTATTTTCCTAATGAAATAGACAATAGTAACTAATTATTATTTTTTCCCTGTCAAATCAAATTCCCGGCTATTTTCCGGTTTTCTAGGTTGGTAGATACACTGTTAAGTGCATTATCAGAAACTACAACCCGTCGAAGACGGGTACGACAGCTAGTTGAGAATAAATATCACTTTTCAAATGTTTTGCGGAAAATTCATACTGAATTAGTAATTTTGAATAGTTGTAGATTACTAATATGGAAATAATTATGATGTTTCTCTATATCTTATTTATAAAATATCTTCGCTAAGTTTGTCCCCTGAATTTGTTATCATTCGTCTGGCAGTGCAAAAAATGTAAAAATTATTAAAAATCAACATTCTGATGAAGTGACTCTTCGTTGTAGTTGTTAATTAAACTAAACTAAATGTGATACCAATCGGGTTTTATTGAATCTTCTAATCTATTAAGGGGACTTTCTGGTTTAGAATTTCAAAAAAATCGATTTTTTTTGCTTAAAAATATTCCTCAGTATCATAGAACTACTGTCCCAAAACGATTTTTAAAAAATATGTACAAAAACAAAAGTTATAACAATATTTATGACGGTATGTATTTCAACAACAATCTACAGTTATCTTATTTACATATTTGGTGTTCCTCTTTTATTGATATTAGCTTGAAACATGTTACTCGAGGGTTTTTGGGGTCGCTGATTACGAATTTGATGTCAGTTTTTGAAAATACAAAATGGCGGATCTAATATGGCGGACAAAGATTAAGAAATTAATTAAATTTAGTTAAAAATGGTTACTTGTGGCCTTTTGAGATTGCTAGTTATGAATATAGGCACAAAACATTAACGTTCTAGGAACGTTTTAAAAACATATACACAAAATTTAAGATTAAATTCGTAATTATCGACCTCAAAAACCTCTGAGAAACAAGTTTTAAGCAAATCCGGTTAATTTTTTATTTTTTAGTCCGCCATATTGGATCCGCCATTTTGAATTTCCAAAAACTGACATTAAATTCATAATCAGCGACCCCAAAAACCCCCGAGTAGCAAGTTTTAAGCAAATCCGGTTGAATGTTTATTTTTTCGTCCGCCATATTAGATCCGCCATTTTGTATTTTCAAAAACTGACATTAAATTCGTAATCAGCGACCCCAAAAACCCCCGAGTAACAAGTTTTAAGCAAATCCGGTTGAATTTTTATTTTTTCGTCCGCCATATTGGATCCGCCATTTTGTATTTTCAAAAACTAACATCAAATTCGTAATCAGCGACCCCAAAAACCCCCGAGTAGCAAGTTTAAAGCAAATTCGGTTGAATTTTTATTTTTTCGTCCGCCATATTGGATCCGCCATTTTGGATTTTCCAAAACGGACATCAAATTCGTAATCAGCGACCCCAAAAACAGCGGGATACGAAGTTCTGTTGTAATAAAAAGTTGTTTGATATTCATGACTCAATGAATTATGTTATGAAAACTTTAAACGCGTTTTTCTCGAAAACTCATTTTTCAAACTGGTACAGAGCTTTTCTCGAAATCTACCGAACCGATTTTGAAATCCCAAAAATTTTTCGATTCTTTATTTAAAAAACTGGTGCCTAAACCTCTAAAAACTCATATTTCTACCGCCTGTGTTTTCATATGGAGGTAAATTGACCCAAAAACACGGCGTTTTTGCGAGTTTTTGAGAAAAATGTACATATAAAATAAAAAAACCTTTAAAAAAAATCGTTTTTGAGGTTTAGGCACAAGAATAAATCCTTATGAAGAGATTCCCGTTTGGAACTTGAATTTATGTATTACAGGTTTTCCGGAATCTAACGTACCAAAAAAAAGGTAACGGAGATTGTGTTGTGACCAGACAAATTCTCATTCGTCTGGCATACATTTTTTAAAACAATATTTTATTTTTCGGTTATTCTATAGATTTATGTTTTGTAGATTATTATTCTCTATAAGATAGTACTGAAGGATTTTTTCATTTAATGTTATTTTTCTATTTTTTAAACAAAAAATGCCAAATTCTCATTCGTCTGGTTCTCATTCGTCTGGCACTTTTGAGATAGGATGTATACTATATCACTAAAAATAGCGTAAAACTAACAATTTTCAACTATTGTTGAATTTTCTGGTCTTAAAAAATAATCTTTCTGGTCTTAAAATAATCCTAATTAAATTTACAAGAAATTGTTATAACTGAATTTTCAATTTTCATTTCGCATAATTATATTGACATAAACAAACAAATGGAATAAGTATTTTTTTATATGAATAAAGTTTAGCCCACAAAAATCAAAGTAGTTCTTTATTATTAGACACTTGAACTTTCTTTTACAATTCTATGATTTGTGAAATTGTGCTTATAGAAACAAATACACCATCCGTAATTTGTTAAAAACAATTATTAATTAAATTACAACAAAAATTAATTAAACCGATGACTTTTATTGATCCTCGTAAAAATCGTTACTTGGGGGTTTTCGGGGTTGCTGATTAAGAACCTAATGTCAGTTTTTAAAATTTTTCAAATTCAAAATGGCGGATTCAATATGGCCGACGATTTTGGAGAAACTTAACATATTCGTCTGAAAATCATTACTCAGTGATTTTCTGTTTCGCTTATTACGAATCCAAGGTCAACTTTTTTCAAATTAACCATTGCTTTTACAATTTGTTTAAACAATTTAATTATGTTTTTTAGTTCTACTACTATATTTATAGTTCATAGATGTATAAAAATAAATAAATTTTAAATAGTTTTTAATAATCATAATTAATTAATTAATTACAATTTATTATTATTATTATTAATTATTAATTAGTTAAATAAATTAAATAAAAATAAATTAATAAATTATTAAAAAGTAAATTCAAAATTAAACTCAACGTTAAAAACTAGAGGTGTATTCAAAGTATTTAGTATTCGATTTTTTCGGGTACTCGATGTCTTTTCAGTCCTCGGAAATTTCCGTATGCATCAAGTATTCCGTATTTTAAATAATCTTGAACTATCTGATTCAAAAGTTGCGAAAATGGTGGTAAATTGTAAATTGTTAGTTCTAACTTTTCCTCTAGGTTAATAACTTATTTATCGTTTAAATATATTTTACAAAATCAAATTTAATAAAAATCGAAAAATTTTTTTAAAATTCATTTAATTAGATTCTTAATCAGCGACCTCAAAAACCCCCGGGTAACGATTTTTAGACGAATACGATAAGTTTTTTCAAAAGTCGTGCGCCATATTGTATCCGCCATTTTGAATTTTGAAAAACTGACATTGGATTCTTAATCAGCAACCCCGTAAACCCCCGAGTAACCAATTTTATAAAAATCCATTCATTAATTTTTATGTTAATGTGAATTTTCTTGACACGATTTTAATTCTCTGGATAAATTGTTTATAAATAACCATAACTTTTGAAATTTTTAATATTTTGTCTGGCCACTTATGGATGTCTTTATTAGTACCATTAACTTGAAGTTAAAATACTTTTCAGACCTTAAATGAGAAAAAAATGTTGTGTCCAAATTTTCTTGATTTTCGTCCTTCATTTGTAGAATCACCCAAATATGAACTTCTGGAGAATTGTATGACAATCTTTGAGCCTTTAAGCTTTAACTTGCAACTTAGTAGATGTCTTTAGGTTAATTTGTTTTAATGTTATTAACAAAAATGTTTGGACGACTATAGTCGGCTTTATGCGCAGGAGGATTTCAATAGCTAAATTACTTTACTAGAAAAATAATTATATGCTTGAAAGGGTTAAAGAAAGTAAAAAAATATCTTGGATTCATTTGAACATGAACAAAATTGTTATGTTTGGATATTTTGAGATTATTGATAAAGAAAATGTGTCTTTGTGTTGCAGATGAACGAAAGCGGCAAACAGGGAGACCTCGCAAAGACGACGCTTTAAAAAAAAGGAGTCGCGAGCCGGGGCTGTAGCGATTGTACACGGAGTGAATGCGTGCGTGTGTGCAAGGGTGGTATGTGTGCGTGAGAGAGAGAGTGCGTGTGTGTGGTGAAGAGGCACCTTCCTTGTTCGAAAGTCGAAAGGATAAGAAAAAAAGAAGGCGTCATGGGCCCGGCACCCTCTTTTGTCATCCATTAAGAAATGCAAGTAGTTAGGGCTGAGGCCCTGCTAGTGAGCATGTGGCTCACTAGAGAATGAAGAAGCAAAACGTCCGGACCCTATCGTTGATCGTCTGTACGTTCACCTATCTCCTCGTTGGCGCTGCAATCTTTGACGTCCTCGAATCCGAAACTGAAAAACGACGCAAGGAAGCTTTAGATGGTAGTCACTGATCAATTACATTTTCTCATTTTTTCCCTCACATATACCGTCAATGTCACAATAATCGTTCAATAAAAAAAATTAGTTGGTTTTTTGTCTGTTTTCATAAAAACAGACAAAAAACAAAAAAAATTTTTTATTTATATGTCGCCATATTTGATCCACCATTTTGGATTTTTGAATATTGACATCGGATTCGTAATCAGCGATCCCAAAACATCCTGCGTAACAAATTTCAAGCGATTTTAATTTGTTTCTCAAACTTTTTCATTTTTCACCCTCCCCCCAAAAAAAGGAGAGATTTCCACCCTTAAAATTGCATGTTTGCCAAATTCTTTTCCTGGGCATTCCAAATTATCTCCACCAACAGAAATTTTCATAAAATTTAATTTAAAACCTTCTGAAATTTCAATTCACTACCTAATTATTTCTGAAAATTGTAAATTTTTAATTAAAATCTTTTCTAATAAGTTATTTTTTACTTAATAACTTTAATATTCTTAATAACTTAATAACTTTATTCTTGAATTTAATTATTTGAAATAAGTTAAACTGTTTTCATTAGAAATAGAAAAAAACAATCTGTTATTTCATTGTTATTTTCGAAAATTTTTAAGGTGAAAAAAATTCAACGAGCTTTTCTATCAAGTTTTTGAAAAAATTTATTGAACCCCAAAAACCAGAATTTTCGTACTAATTCTATAAAAATTTGATATTTTCCCAGTAGTTTTGATAAAATTCTTTGACATGCCCCTAATTTTCCGGATCAATTTTCTTTTCCCTGATTTCTTATGAAAATAATAAATAAAAAAACATTTTGACCACGTATTACTGTTTGGAAAGTAAAACAAATAATTTCTAGAATTTCTCCTCAATTTTACCTTTTCCGAAAAGTAAATTTTTAAATAAATTTTTGTATTAATTACATATTTAATTAAAAATAATTTTTAAATATAAAATTTTTACTTTTTGTACTAAAATTTTCTCTTCGGGAATAGGCAAAGTTGCAACAACAATAATACCGTTTTAAAAAGAATTAATTTTGATACAATAAAAGAACTTTTGTGACATTGATGGTAATACATAAAAATAGTGATAACGCAGAGTAACTGCAAAAAACCTAATTTAAATGTCCAGGTTTTCCAAAAGGCATATTTTTGAAAATTACAGTAAAATTTTCCATATAATTTGCACGTGATTTAAATTATTTTTAAATTTATAATGCAGTATAGTACCTTTCACAAGCATTTCTCTAAAGTTTTGAAATTTCAAATGAACAAAAATTTCTTTTTTGTTAAACTATTTTAAAAAATTTACTGAATAAAATGAAATTTAAAAAAAATTTATTTAAAAAAACTGAAATTATCCAAAAGATAAAAAAAGGAGAACTTGAAAAATTTATAAACTTTTATAAATTCCAGAATAAAAATGTTTACTAATTTAAATTAATAACTGACTTCGGCAGGGACTCAGTTCAACCTTTTCTGATTACCCAAAAACTGATTCTACATTGCTGATTCTACAAACGAATATACTCCATTCAATATTACTCTCCCTGGACTTATTCTACACAGGGCGACTCTATATAATAATAATAAATATCACACATAACAAATGATCGATTTTCCGTTGACTGATTCTCCACAAATAAACTCTCCAATAATAAATAAAAAATTTGTGACTCTCCACAGACCGACTCTATACGAACTAACTCTCCAAAATTAATGAAAAATATTGTGACTCTCCACAGACCGACTCTACACGAACTAACTCTCCAAAATTAATAAAAAATATTGTGATTCTCCACAGACCGACTCTACATGAAGTAACTCTCCAAAATTAATGAAAAATATTGTGACTCTCCACAGACCGACTCTACACGAACTAACTCTCCAAAATTAATGAAAAATATTGTGACTCTCCACAGACCGACTCTACACGAACGAACTCTCCAAAATTAATTGAAAAATATTGTAACTCTTCACAGACCGACTTTACAAGAACTAACTCTCCAAAATTAATGAAAAATATTGTGATTCTCCACAGACCGACTCTACACGAACTAACTCTCCAAAATTAATGAAAAATATTGTGACTCTCCACAGACCGACTCTACACGAATTAACTCTCCAAAATTAATAAAAAATATTGTGATTCTCCACAGACTGACTCTACATGAACTAACTCTCCAAAATTAATTGAAAAATATTGTAACTCTTCACAGACCGACTTTACATGAACTAACTCTCCAAAATTAATGAAAAATATTGTGATTCTCCACAGACCGACTCTACACGAACTAACTCTCCAAAATTAATGAAAAATATTGTGACTCTCCACAGACCGACTCTACACGAATTAACTCTCCAAAATTAATAAAAAATATTGTGATTCTCCACAGACTGACTCTACATGAACTAACTCTCCAAAATTAATTGAAAAATATTGTAACTCTTCACAGACCGACTTTACATGAACTAACTCTCCAAAATTAATGAAAAATATTGTGATTCTCCACAGACCGACTCTACATGAAGTAACTCTCCAAAATTAATGAAAAATATTGTGACTCTCCACAGACCGACTCTACACGAACTAACTCTCCAAAATTAATGAAAAATATTGTGACTCTCCACAGACCGACTCTACACGAACGAACTCTCCAAAATTAATTGAAAAATATTGTAACTCTTCACAGACCGACTTTACATGAACTAACTCTCCAAAATTAATGAAAAATATTGTGATTCTCCACAGACCGACTCTACACGAACTAACTCTCCAAAATTAATGAAAAATATTGTGACTCTCCACAGACCGACTCTACACGAATTAACTCTCCAAAATTAATAAAAAATATTGTGATTCTCCACAGACTGACTCTACATGAACTAACTCTCCAAAATTAATGAAAAATGTTGTGACTCTCCACAGACCGACTCTACACGAACTAACTCTCCAAAATTAATAAAAAATATTGTGATTCTCCACAGACCGACTCTACATGAACTAACTCTCTAAAATTAATGAAAATTATTCTGTCTCTCCACAGACCGACTCTACACGAACTAACTCTCCAAAATTAATAAAAAATATTGTGATTCTCCACAGACCGACTCTACATGAACTAACTCTCCAAAATTAATGAAAATTATTCTGTCTCTCCACAGACCGACTCTGCACGAACTAACTGTCCAAAATTAATGAAAAATATTGGTGCGGTAGCGAATTAGCGATACTACAAATAAAATAATATTTTGCGGTATATAATTCGGGGCGGTAGCGATACTACACATTTAAACTGTACATTGATGAACTGTTCACGTTCGATTGTATACAGTTGAATTGTATACAAATATGTATTATAAAAATTTATCATTAAACTGTATACATTTCAACTCTACACAAATGATTTTTAATAATTTTATTTTTTTAATATGTTTGTTTGACTACAGTTAGATTCTACACTATTAAATTTGGTAAAATAATAACAAAAAATTCTACACAGTTAGATTCTACACAGTAGAATTATATACCGCAAAATATTATTTTATTTGTTGAACTGTATACAGGTAAATTGTATACAAGATTAAATACGATTAATTGTATACAGTTGTATTGTACACAAAAATTTTTTGTATAATATTATTATTAAACTGTATACATTTCAACTCTACACAAATAATTTTTAATAATTTTATTTTTTAATATGTTTGTTTGCATACAGTTAGATTCTACACTCTTTAATTTGATAAAATAATAACAAAAAGTTCTACACCGTTAGATTCTATACAGTACAATTTTATATATTATTCTACTGTATAGAATCTAACGGTGTAGAATTTTTTGTTATTATTTTATCAAATTAAAGAGTATAGAATCTAACTGTATGCAAACAAACATATTAAAAAATAAAATTATTAAAAATTATTTGTGTAGAGTTGAAATGTATACAGTTTAATAATAATATTATACAAAAAATGTTTGTGTACAATACAACTGTATACAATTAATCGTATTTAATCTTGTATACAATTTACCTGTATACAGTTCAACAAATAAAATAATATTTTGCGGTATATAATTCTACTGTGTAGAATCTAACTGTGTAGAATTTTTTGTTATTATTTTACCAAATTTAATAGTGTAGATTCTAACTGCAGTCAAACAAACATATTAAAAAAATAAAATTATTAAAAATCATTTGTGTAGAGTTGAAATGTATACAGTTTAATGATAAATTTTTATAATACATATTTGTATACAATTCAACTGTATACAATCGAACGTATACAGTTCATCAATGTAGAATTCAAATGTGTAGTATAGCTACCGCCCTAAAAAATGCTGCACAGTAAAATTATATACCGCAAAATATTATTTTATTTGTTGAACTGCAGACAGGTAGATTGTAGGGGAATGTAGTCAAGGTTGGTCTACTGTCTAGGTAGGCCACTCGCGTTTTTTGTCAAGTTTACTAGCGCCACCTACGCGCATTTTTGTCGAAGCTTGTCTTAGTGAAATCTAACTTTTTGTTCAATTACATTTTCGGAAAATCGAAAATTGTGTTTTCTGTGACGTCGGTACAAAAAAAGCTCAAAAAAAGTTTTGTGCATAATGTGAAAAACCATTAATAAAAGATAAAAAACAAATTGAATCGTCAAAGCAAGTATGCAGAAAATTTGTGGGACTCATGGTTGAAAGGAAAACAAAGTAAAAAATCGAGTCCCGAAACGTATCTCTTTATGGTTACAGCAATTCGGTAATGTTACTTACTGTCAAGGTCGGCCACTATGTGTTTAAAATGCGCAAAGATGAGGACGAGCTACTTCATTTGCAAAAACTGCAATTCTGTATAACTCTTAATATAATTGATCAACTTATTAATATTTTTATTTAATTTTATTAATATTTTAGTGCAAAATTTTTTTTTATTTATATTTATTTTTTATATTATTTATTGTTATTATTTTGTTATTTCATTAAGTTACAAGCTGTAAACAATAAAAAATCAATTTTCCGTAACTCCAAACATGTTATTTTATTTTTTAAAGATTAATGCCCTTTGAATTTTAAACATGCCCGACCTTGACTGTAATAGCCAACCTGGACTGCAAATTTTTTTTTTAAATCATTATAACTTTTTCATTTTTAAACCTGTCAATTTACTTTGTACAGAAAAAATTTTCCTATTAAACCGGACTTTCCAACCATATACTTCAATTGTCCAAATTCATTTTAAAAAAAAGGTGGCCGACCTACACTATGTTCCCCTATACAAGATAAAATACGATTAATTGTATACAGTTGTATTGTACATAGAAATTTTTTGCATAATTTGCGGGATATAATTCTACTGTATAGAATCAAACTGTGTACAATTTTTTGTTACTATTTTACCAAATTTAATAGTGTAGAATCTAACTGTATTCTGACAAACAAATTAAAAAAATAAAATTATTAAAAATCATTTGTGTAGAGTTAAAATGTATACAGTTTAATGATAAATTTTTATAATACATATTTGCATACAATTCAACTGTATACAATGTAGTGTATACACTATATGTGTAGTATCGCTACCGCAACAAAATATTCTGTGGAGAATCACAATATTTTTTATTAATTTTGGAGAGTTAGTTCATGTAGAGTCGGTCTGTGGAAAGTCAGAATATTTTTTATTAATTTTGGAGAGTTAGTTCATGTAGAGTCGGTCTGTAAAGAGTTACAAATTTTTTTATTTATTATTGGAGAGTTAGTTCGTGTAGAGTCGGTCTGTGGAGAGTCACAATATTTTTCATTAATTTTGGAGAGTTAGTTCATGTAGAGTCGGTCTGTGGAGAGTCACAATATTTTTCATTAATTTTGGAGAGTTAGTTCGTATAGAGTCGGTCTGTGGAAAGTCACAATATTTTATTTATTATTGGAGAGTTAGTTTGTGTAGAGTCGGTCTGTGGAGAGTCACAATATTTTTCATTAATTTTGGAGAGTTAGTTTATGTAGAGTCGGTCTGTAAAGAGTTACAAATTTTTTATTTATTATTGGAGAGTTAGTTCGTGTGGAGTCGGTCTGTGGAGAGTCACAATATTTTTCATTAATTTTGGAGAGTTAGTTCATGTAGAGTCGGTCTGTGGAGAGTCACAATATTTTTCATTAATTTTGGAGAGTTAGTTCGTATAGAGTCGGTCTGTGGAGAGTCACAAATTTTTTATTTATTATTGGAGAGTTTATTTGTGGAGAATCAGTCAACGGAGAATCGATCATTTGTTATGTGTGTTATTTATTATTATTATATAGAGTCGCCCTGTGTAGAATAAGTCCAGGGAGAGTAATATTGAATTGATTATATTCGTTTGTAGAATCAGCAATGTAGAATCAGTTTTTGGGTAATCAGAAAAGGTTGAACTGAGTCCCTGCCACTGACTTCTTGCTTTTGAATTAGTAAATTTTACTAATAAATTAGTAGAAATTACCATTTACTATAGTAAAAGTTACTAATTCAAAAGCAAAAAGTCAGTCACTAATAATTAAAATTAGTAACTTAAAAACTTAAAAAAACTTAACTTAAAAAAATGGGTAAATAACTGGTTTTTTCATTTTATGGGAAAAATATCTCAAAAATCTGACGTACTAGATAAATTCTGAAATTTAAATTAGATTCAGCACGTCGAAAACTTTCAGAGAAGTATTCTCCGGTTTTTGGTTCAATTTTATGCCTTTTAGATTGAATTTTACTATAATTAAATATGTTACGAAAAACAGTAAAAAAATCTCCCACGATTAAAAAATACTGAGGGACATTTTTTTATTCAACTTAATTTGTTCTTAAAAGTTAATTAAAAACTCAGAAATGAAATTATGTAAGTAAATGAAAGAAAATAATAATTATGAAATAAATAAATAATAACTTATAACTAAGAAATTAACAAGTAAATAATAACTAATAAATAAATAAATTATGACAAAATGAAATGAGTAAAAAAGGAAACTATTTAATATACATGAAAGGAAATACATAATTTTATTAAACTCTTCTTCCTTTGTATTTAAATAATTTCTTCGAAAATAAAAATTTCCGTTTCGCGATATAATTTCAATGCAAATGCAAACAATGTTGAAAATTGATATATTTGAAGTACATTAAAATTTCTCTAAATATATATCGAAAGGTTCTTCTGATGCATGTGAAAATGCTACTTGACACGTAAAATATTTGATATAAATTTCGGTCAAGTGAGAAAATTTACAGTTTGAATTAATTCCCATTTCATTATCCCTCTCGATTAATTGGAATTCGTTTCAAATTATTGACTCATCAGGAGAAAAATATTTTCATTTTTCTTCCACTCGAGATTTTATATTATTCAACATTTTTTCCACAAATAAAATTTCATTTTATTTAATTATCTTTAATTAAATATATTTCAATAATGTTGAATTCAATGGAAAATAAAATATTTAATGGAAAGAAGAATTAAATCCCTTTTTTATTATTTCAAATTAGTTATTCTAATTTCTTAAAAATTATTTTTTTGATAAAATTTTTATACAATAGTAATGAAAAGGAATTTTATAAAAAAATATCAAATTATTGGAAATCCTAAATAGTTTATGAATTTTCTTTCTCAAATTAAAAAAATCCATTGCAATTTTTAGAAGTAATCAATTATTTTATCACTTATTTTTGGATTTAAATGATTGAATTCTCCTATAGAACTTTTTGCTAAGAATTGATTTGAAAAACAATTTCAGTTAAATTTTAGAAAATATTCCAAGAATTGCAGTTTTAATTTTAATTTAATTTCAAAAAGTTTTATATTGAAACTATTTTGAAATTTTAATTCCTGGTGGACAAAGAAATAACAATAAGTATTTAAATTCTTTTTAAACAAAAATTAATCAAATATGAAAAATTTAATTTAGAAATTCTGAAAAAATGTAATTTTTAAAAAATTGTAATTAACATATTTTGAAAATAGTTGAATTCCAGGAAATAATTTTAAATAATTGAAAAAAAAGAAAATTTTCTCAAATTCAATTTTACAAATTTTTTTTAAGTATTTAAATAATTCAATTAAATATTGTTGAATTTAAAAACGAATTGTTATTAAAATTTTGAAAATTATTTGAATGTTAGAAGAGTATAACATGAGTTTTAAGAAATAATTAAATTTTAGAAGGTTTTAAAATTAAAAACTTTTTAACATTTTAATCGCCGTAAAAATATAATAATATTTAAATGTTTATTCAAAAAAATTATTATTATATTATTTTCCATTAAAAATTATTAAAGTTATGAAGAATTTTATTTAAAAATTCAAAAATCTAATTGACTTTTGGAAAATTTGCAGTTGTAATTTTTAGAAATAATTAAGTTTCAAAAGGTTTTAGTTTTACATTGAAATTATTATTTGGAAATTTTAATTAAAATAAATAATAAGTTCTTAATTATAATCGTTTAACAAAAATTATTAAAGTGAATAATTTAATGCAGAAATTTAAAAAAAGTAATTTTTTGAAAAATTGTAATTAACATTTTTTTAAGACTCTCGAAAATAATTTTAAAAATTGAAACAATTAAAAATTTTTTCAAACTTGATTGAAAAAATTTTATATTTGAAAGAATTTAGGTTTATTAATTTTAAAAATTATTTTTCAGTTGTGCTAGTTTTTAATTAATATAAATAATTTTCAATTCTTTTGCGCAATTAATTGAATTTTAGAAAAAATGAAATGAAAATTGTAAATCTGTTTAAATTTAATTTTTTTAAAAATTAATTTAATTATTTTTTAATTTTGTTGTAATTACTTTAATTTAGAATAAAGAAGAATATAAATTGTAATTTTATTTTAATGTTTCAGCCATTGAAAGAATGGTTGTAAATAAATACAACATAAGCGAAGTGGACTACAAGATTATGGAAACCGTGGTGTTGAAATATGAACCACACAAGGCCGGTAAGCAGTGGAAGTTCGCCGGTGCATTTTATTATGCAACCACGGTGCTCACCACTATCGGTAAGTAAATAAACATAAAACTTTTATCCACTTAGATATAAACTTTACGTTCCTATTTACCTCCCTTACTGTTACTCTAAACTATTTCCGTTTCGAATTTTCTCGGAATTTTTTTTTCTCTTTTTTCCATTAAAGGAGAATAACGAAATAATAACTATTAAAATATTAAATATTGTTTTTTTTTAACAATAATTCTTCTTTCTAAAAGAGAAAATACAAGCTCAGCAATAATAGATATTTTTTTAGAATAGAATTTGTTTTAACAATTCTATTATTCAAAATATATAATATTTAATTATTCAATGAATAAAATTATAATATTAAATTATTAATAAAAATAACAAGTTTATTGAAAAAGAATCAGCCCGGAGCAAATGTCAATACTAATTAAAAAAAGAAAGTGTGAAAACTTTTTTTTTTCAAAACACTAGAGTAGTTAAAGATGTATGTGTGTGTGTGTGTCTAACTTGGCTTTAGTCCCGAGTTCAACATTTTTCAAACAGCTCAAATCGTAACCCGCGGGACTTCCGACGAATATCTCGAGATTTATGTGTTTCATTCGCCTCTGAATTCAGTCCAACGAACTTTTCTACTACTTTCCGTAACAACTTAGAAAGCTTGTAGTAAATTGAGTTAAAAAAGGAACGAAACGCAAAAACGAAGAAAAATTTTCCAATTCGTTAATTTTAGTTCATTCTTTTCTAAAATAATTTTTATTAAAACAAATTTTTTTACTTCACTAATTTTTAGTTCATATTTTTATTATACAATTTTCTATATGAGGAAAAAATTTTTCTATAATTCGAAAATCTTAGATTATTTTTACATTTACGAAAAAAGAATTACATTAGATAAAATTAGATAAAATTAAATAAAAATTTAATTGAAATAATATTTTATTTAACATTTAAAAAAAATATATTTTTTAATAAAATGAATAAAAAATACGTATGTTTTAAAATAAATATAAAAAATTAAATAGACTTAAAATCAGGGACCGACACGTACACGAAAAAACACGAAAATTCGTGTCCTGTCCGTGTTTAAGGAATTTAGAATTTATAAGAAACTTTCAAAAAATTTAATAAAATTCTTGGCAAAATTTCAATTATTTTTAAAAATTTTCCTCATTTCAATTATTTTTAATGTATTTTAATAAAAGTTTCCAAAAGAATTCAATTATTTAAACAAAAATTTTAATAAAAATTTCACAAGAATTCAATTAGGTACTTACCAATTTTTTATAAATGCCTTGGAACCAATTCAATTATTTTTAATTTTTTAATGAAGTTTCTTGAAAGAATTCAAATATGTTCAGAGAATTGAAAAAAATAGTTCTAAGAAATTCAATTATTTCGAAAAATTTAAATAAACTTCTTTTAAAAGTTCTATTATTTAAAAAAACTTTGACAAAATTCTTTACAAGATTTAGATAATAAAATTTCAATTTTAATAAAATTTTCCTATACAATTAAATTATTTTCAATACCTTAAGAATTTAATTATTTTCACAAATAATACATTTTTTATGGGAATTCAATTATTTTAAAAAATTCAAATACAATTTTTCCCAAGAATTCAATTCTTTTCAAAAATAAAATTCTTCTCAAGAATTCAATTCTTTTCCAAAATAAAAATTTTCACAGGAATTCAATTATTTAAAAAAAAATTAATAAAATTCTTCGTCAGATTTCAATTATTTTAAATTTTTTAATGAAAAAGTTCTGAAAAATTGAATTATTAAAAAAAAATTTGAATAAAATTCTTCACAAGAAACTAATTATTATCATAAATAATATTTTTTTCCGGAATTCAATTATTTTCGCAAATAAAATTCTTCAGAGGAAATCAATTCTTTAAAAAAATGTTATGAAAATAATGTAATGAAAATGAAAAATGTAAATGAAATAAACTTCGTTGCAAGAATTCAATTATTTTCATAAATAACAAAACTTATCTTAGAATTTCAATTATTTTTTACACAATTTGAAATAAAATGATTGAAAATTGCATTTATTTAAAAAATTTTTTTTGAAGCATAAAGTTTTAGAAATAATTGCATTTTGAAAAGGGTTTAAATTTCAGAAGGTTTGAAATTGAAAATCTTAATTCTTACAGAAAAATAATAATGATTAAATATTTATTAAAAAAAGAAGTTGGGACATTTTTTTTGAGTAAATAAAATTTTTAAAAAATCTATCAACGTAAAAGTGAAAATAAATTTCTGTTCGAGTGAAAGTGAAAATTGCAAATTAAAAATGAGAGTGAAAATGAAGTTGAAAAAAATCTATCAAAGAGAAAATGAAAGTAAAAAGAAAAAAAAAGTGAAAATAAAATACTATAAAAGATAAAATAAAAGAGAAAGTAAAAATGAAAATAAAAATTTATTAAAGTGAAAATGAAAGTAAAATTGAAAGTGAGAATGAAATTAAAAGCAGAAATGGAATTACGTAATCGAATATAAAAAACAATAAAATAATTATAAATTTTCTTAATATATTATGATACTCTTATGTGAAAGAAGGGTCTACATATATAGTATCCCGTGCAGAAATTAAAATGTGGGCCTGATAGGGTACTGGACAGTTTTCCCGATCTCTGGTGTGGCTCTGGGTAGAGAAATTAACCAGTGCCCGACTAGTGTGTGACGCTGTTCCCGACCAATGCCCTACTTAGGGAAAAACTGGTCAGGGCCTCGTCAGTTTTTCTTAAAATTGCCCTATTTTGTGAGGTTCATTTTATTCAAAAGAAATTACAATAAAATTACTGTAATTAAAAATATTATTATATTAGAAACATAATGAACACAACATATTTATACATAACATAATGAGGTATTATAGTCATTTTGACTAATTTAAAAGTGAAAGTGATAAAAATAATATAATTTCAAGAATAGAAAAACTTAAAAATTTTTGAAAAATATAATTTTTGGTTTTATGATTAATTCATTTTTCTTTTGGAGGTTGTCGCTCCTTTCTGCCTCCTTAATTTTATAATATTAATAAAGGTTATAATTTTTGTTTTCAAATGTATAAGTAATAATTAATATTTATTTAATAAATATTTTATTAAAATTTATTAATTATGTTTAAAAAATAGTTATTAAATATTGAAGGTGTTAAATTTAACAATCACTCCGAATCATTTTCTCACTTTAAGCTAATATAATATAAAATAATAATTATTATTAAAATAATATAATATATATACAAACCAAATGATAAATTCATCCTATAAATTAATAATTATTAAAATTCATTAAGTATAATTTGTTAATAATTGTTTATTAATTATTAGTTTTTAAATTCATAATTTTTATTTTCAAATAAATGTATAATAATTAATTATTTAATAACTATTATTATTCGTTATTTATAATTTAGTTGTTATTATTAATAAATAGACTTTATTATAATATTGTACTTAAAGGAAAAAAAATTATATGTATTTTCGTTTTTTAAATATATTACCATAATTATTTTATAAAGTGTTTTAAAAGAACACGCTTTTTTAACTTAAATAACTGTATTAAAAAAGTTAATTTTAAAAAATTAAATTTATTTACATGCTTTTAAAACGAGGAAAACTGTTGAGGCCCTGATCAGAGCCATATTTCATATCTAGTGAACACCCCACTTAGGGTTTTGGACAGAATTTCTGGTCAAACCCATAAGATAAAAAAATTCTTAAAAATGTAGTATAATTACTCCGTTTAATTAATTTCTTCAATTGTTTATAATTTTATTATGGGGACTAATTTAAAAAACTTAATTTATTTACACTTTATTCAAACGAGGAAAACTGTCGAGGCCCTGATCAGAGCCCTATTTAATATCTAGTGTACACCTCACTTGGGGTATTGGCCAGAAATTCTGGTCAAACCCACAAAATAAAAAAACTATTAAAACGATAGTATAATTACTCTCTTTAATTGTATTCTTCAATTGTTCATTATTTTTTATTAAAAGTAATTTTAGAGATTTAATTTTTTTACACTTTTTTTAAACAAGGAAAACTGTCGAGGCCCTGATCAGTACCCTATCTAAAATCTAATGAACACCCTACCTGGGGTTCTGGCTAGGAATTCTAGTCAAACCCCTAAAATAAAAAAATGATTAAATAACTAAAATAATGATTGCCTTTCATTGTTAATAGCTTCTACAACAAAAAGGAATTCTAAAAACTTTATTAAAAAAAAAATTTAATAGGGAAAACTGTCCAGGCCCTGACCAGAACCCTGTTTTAAATAGGGCAAAGTGGGACATTTTCTGCACGGGATTGATAGATAAAAAAGTAATCAAAGTGTAGAACTTATAAAAATAGTTTTTCACAATGAGGAAAAAAATTGCAAAAATTTATCATAATAGAAATTTGAATATATTTTAAAAGGCAAGTTTGAACGATAAGAAAGAAGCTCGTTAAGATGGATTTATTCCCGTAGGTTATGGACACTCGACACCAAACACTATAAGCGGGAAGCTCTTTACGATGTTTTATGCGATCATCGGTATACCATTGGGCCTTGTGATGTTCCAAAGTATAGGAGAACGGGTGAACAAGTTCTCCTCCGTCGTGATACGAAATGTTAAGCGACTTCTTAACTGCAGGAACGTTCAGGTAATTTTTTTTTTATTTTATCAAAAAATGTATTTTTTTTAATTTTATGTTATTGAATTTGATATAATATCAAGCCTCGGATTGAACGTTTTTTTTATAAAGTTATATTCACAATTCAATAAATTATATAGAGTTGCGCTAACGTTTGTTCTGGCTGTTTAATTATTCTTTCAGAAAAGAAGAAATTCAAAAAATATCTGGTTTATTGGATTGAAATTTAATTGAGAATGGCGGATCTAATATGACGGACCTATTTTTCAAAAATCGTACTTTTTTGCTTGAAAGTTGTTACTCAGGGGTTTTTGATGTCGCTGATTACGAATCTGAAGTCAATTTTTGCAAAATTCAAAATGTCGGATCCAATATGGCCGAAAAAATATAAATATTTGTCAATCTTTGCGAAACTTACTATTAAGGGGTTATTTAGGTCGCTGATTACGAATCTGAAGTCAGTTTTGCAAAATACAAAATGGCGGATCCAATATGGCAGATCCATTTTTCAAAAATCGTACTTTTTTGCTTAAAACTTGTTTCTAAAGTACTAATAAGAATAACTAAATATCAAGTGCAATTAATAAAAACAGCGTAAATTGTTTCAAGCAAAAAAGTACGATTTTTGAAAAATGGATCTGCCATTTTATATTTTGCAAAACTGACTTCAGATTCGTAATCAGCGACCCAAATAACCCCTTAGTAGTAAGTTTCGCATAGATTGACAAATATTTATATTTTTCGGCAATATTGGATCCGACATTTTGAATTTTGCAAAAATTGACTTTAGATTCGTAATCAGCGACCTCAAAAACCCCTGAGTAACAACTTGCAAAAAAGTACGATTTTTGAAAAATAGGTCCGCCGTATTAGATCCGCCATTTTGTATTTTGCAAAACTGACTTCAGATTCTTAATCAGCGACCCAAATAACCCCTTAATAGTACCTAAGTTTCGCAAAGATTGACAAAAATTTATATTTTTCGGCCATATTGAATCCGCCATTTTGAAATTTCTTACAAGTCCACCATCTTGAATTTTTAAAAAAGGCCACTATGCAAATAAAAGTAGAGGTTCAAAGCTTTAATTTAAGCCCTATTTTGATTTTTTTCGTTGAAATTAAAAATAGACAGATAGAGGGTAAAATTTGACAAAGAATGCTCCAATATATATAATATAAAATATTTTTTTTAATAAAAAAGTATTGTTAGGCACAAAATTGAATCAAAATGTCCAAAAAATGTTTGTTTCTATAATAATCAAGAGGAGGACTTTTCGATTCGGTTTTTTCGTGACAAAATTACAAATATACATATATTAATGAACAATTAATAAATGAATGAATTTAATTGAACTGTTGAATAGGCCTCGGAAATAAATCTTATTTGTGTGGTGACAACACTTTCGATCCTAACCATCGCAGGCGGAGCTGCCGCTTTCTCTAGGTACGAGGGCTGGTCCTATTTTGATTCTGTCTACTATTGCTTCATTACCTTGACAACCATCGGTTTTGGCGACATGGTAGCCTTACAGAAGAACAGGGCTCTCGAAGAAAAGCCCGAATATGTCATGTTCGCTTTGATCTTTATTCTCTTCGGGCTTGCCATCGTGGCCGCCTCTTTGAATCTTCTCGTTCTCCGATTTGTCACGATGAACACTGAGGATGAGAAAAGAGATGAAGCTGAAGCTCTGCAGGTAATGAATTTGAAAATTTTATTTCATCTTTTTGAAGACAGGAAAAAAAACTGATTTTTATTTTCAATTCTTGTCCACAGGCTGCGCAGGGTGCGGTGCGACTGGAAGGCGACGTGATAACAGCGAATGGCTCGATATTATCGGGTCAGTTGGGTAACCAGGGTGACACTATCTCTCTGGACGATGACGGGGCGTCGGTGTGTAGTTGTCGATGCAGCGGTTTTTACAAGAAGCGACGGCGGTTACCACGTTTCACGGTGCGTCGATCGCCTGGCAAAATATCTCATTTGCTACCGATGCAACAACTTCCGGCTATGAGTCTTCGGCCTCCGCCTTTAACGCCTCTCTTGCAGCTTCCACCAATGTACCAACATCGGGCCAGCATCTAACAATATCCACTCGTTCTTGATTTGCCAAAATAAAACAAAAAACTTCCAATTATGTACCAATCGCGATGAGCTTGTGAATATTATAGAAAAAACAGGACACTGCAAGAAAACAAAGATCACTAGAAATGTGCGCACAATAATTCGTAAACAGAAATTTCCTTTTTGTAAATTCCAGGACAGAAGTTAAATCGTATTTTCTATTTTCATTCCACATTACAAGTTAAGTAATTGACATTCCAATTTCGAGTCAAAATTTAACAAACTCCTTTGGATTTGTCACATTTTTTTCATTCGTCCAAGCAGGAAATTTTCCCGAATCAGCAAAAAAGGTATCAAAATTCAGAAATAAAAAATAGAAAGATTGTCAGCTATTTTTATAAAAATTCTCTTTTTACTTGACTGATAAATTCGATTATTGAACAAAATTCCCTTCGAAGGGAGAGAAAAAAACTTATAATTCTCCAAATAAAAATTCGATTATGTCAATTGCAAAAGGTCAAAAAAATTTATCTTTCAGTGAAGCAAAAATAGAAAAGGAACAAAAATGTAAAATGAGACATGACAGGGAATAAATGTAGAATATCGTAAATCATACTTGTTCTTTCCGTGAAGAAATGAGATGATTTTAGCGCCATGTTGGATTTCAAGAAATTTATCTATGTACATGTACAATGTTTCAAAGAAAGAAAAAAAAAGATATATGCTCCCTGGCACTCAAGACGCCTGGGGCATGAATGTAAATATTATTATTCAAACAAACAAAAACACTATACATCATTCTATATCCGTGCACAATTTTTGATACTCAATTTGCTCAAAGTATTAACGAAAAACAATATAGAAAAATTTACATACCTTTCACACGAAGGAAAAGTATATTTTTATTTAATTTCTAAATTGAAAAAAAAGAAAATTTATGCTTTTTGTTCAAAAAAAAACTATTACAAAATAATTATTCATCTTTGTCAAATAGAAAAATTAATATTTTAATCCTATAGAATAAAAAAAATTATAACGACAAATTCACGACGTATCTTTCAAATAAATGGTACTATCGACAGAAAAGAGAGAGAAAAAAACTATGACGGCGAGTTGTGCCTCGCCCAAAAAGTTCGCATAATACTTGGTCCATTTAGAGTCGGAAAATAGTTTTCTTTCTCTTTCAAAAATTGACAGAAAATTTAGAAATTAAATTATTCGAAATGAAAAAATTAAAAAACATTCTTGATTAAAATTAAATTTTTTTTTAAATTGTTAAATTATTATTTCAGGGATCACAGTAATTTTTTCATTAGGTAAAAAAGGAAATTTTATTTTTCAAAAAGAGGATTTTATTTTCCAAAAAAGGGAATTTTCAAATTAAGTAAAAAAATTATTATTATTATTATTATTTTCCAAAATTTTTTAAAAATTCTTGGCAAAATTTTAATTATTTTCAAAAACTTTCCTCAATTTAATGCTTTTTAATATCTACTACTTTAAAAAAAATTCCTAAAAGAATTCAATTAGTTAAAAAAAATTGTAATGAAATTCTACGCAAAAATTTAATTCTTTTCATAAATAATAAAAATTTCACAGGAATTCAAATATTTACAAATGATTTTCATATATTATTCAATTATTTTCATAAATAATAAAACTCAATGCTGAATTTCAATTATTTTTAATACAATTTTAATGGAATTCCTCGAAAAAAGTTATTATTCTTAAAACTTTTATTAAAATTTATCAAAGAGATTTAATTATTTTAATAACCTTTGCTACAATTTATTTATTAGAATTTAAGTATGTATTATTTTCAATGCATTTTTAATTAAATTTCTTTAAAGAATAAAATTATTTTCAAAAATTTTAATGAAACTCTTTGCGTACCAATTCAATTTTTTTCAAAATAATTTTAATAAAATTCTTCGCAAAAATCCAATTATGTTTAGAAATTTACAAAAAATTCTCGTCAAAATTTCAATTATTTTTATAAATATTAAAATTTGTCGCCGAAATTCAATTATTTTTAAAACTTTTAATAAAAATCTTGTCAGATTTTCAATTATTTTTAATACAATTTTCATCAAATTTCTCGAAAAATGCAATTATTCTTAAAAATTTTATAAAAATTTGTCAATTATTTAACCATTTGTTGATAAATTTTTTTACAAAAATTCAATTGTTTAATAAAATATTTATTTTTATAGTTAAATAATTGAATTCTCGTAGAATTTTTTAATAAATATTGATTTAAAAATGTATTTCAAATTAAAATCTTTGAAAATAAAATAAGGGGAATTAATTTATTTACAAAATAAGAGGAAAAAGGGGGGAAATTTATGATTTTAGATGTTTTAGGGGATTTTATTAATTTAAGGGAATAAAAAAGGGAAAAGAGGAAGAAAAGGGGACTAACTGTGATCCCTGATATTTTCTAATCGGAATTATTTTATCAATATTTTTTCCTCTTAAAAATATAAAAAACAATATTATTTAATCAAGGACTAATTTTTAATTTTAACTTTATTTTAAAAATAACTAATTTTCGATATAATTAAAAAAAAACAAAAATTCAACTTTTGTCCTCGAATCGATTAAATTTCGAAAAATAAAAAGTCGCCTCACACAAAAAACATATTTCAAAAATGAAATAAGAAAGAAAGTGAGAAAATTACCGATATTATATTTAGAAACGGATTTAAACACAAAGTGATCTGTCTTCTATCTTAGAAATAATAAAATAAAAAAAAATGCACACAAAATAGAAAACAAAAGGATATTATTGCGATTTCTTGAAATCACTGTATTGAGAATCGAGTACAAAACGTTGTACAAGTGACCATTGTGTTTAGTGGCACAAGAAAGATATGAAAAGAATATTTAAGAGAGAAGAAAAATGATATAACTTACGTCACAAACTATATACTATAAAAAAACATCTTTTTCATCAGAGACATTTTACAATTTGTAAATATGAAATATAGATATTAAAAATTGTAAGATTAGTATTATATTAACTCAGAAATTTCGACTTATGATGTGTATAAAACGTAATTTAGTGATAATTATACAAGGTTCTATTTGTAATAATCCTATTCAAATAATATCGCGTTTTAATTCAAAAATCAATTCTTTATTAATCTTCTTTCCAATAAAATGTTAAAATTGAAGTTACATCTGCAGAAATATAATTAAAAAATTTTCTTTATTTTTCTCTAATCTTTGTTATTGTAATACAATTTTTATTATTAATAAAAAATTTTTTTATGAATTTTAATAAACTAACCAGGAAAAAATGCTATTTCTTGAATTCGATTGTTACAAAACCTGTTGAATGTGTGAAATGCGAGGACACACTTCCTTTCTTAAATTCTCCACTTTCTACACTTAAAAAAAAGTAAAAAAAAATTTCATCCTTTACAGATCATAGCAGAAATACTTTTTGAGAAAAAAAAATTCGTACTTATAAATAGTTACAGTAGATCCTCGCAAAGTTATCGCGTTATCGAGACTGACTTTTCAGAAAAAAATACGACCAAACATGATTTATTGAAAATAAATAATCACCGTCTCACGTTTCTTGATTGATTCAATTCCCTCGAGAATGAAAGACTAAAACATCAAATAGTTAACCATCTTCTGAAACTCTCGAGTTGAGAGTAATTTAAAAGAGAATTTTTAATGCCCTTTAAATGTTAAATTAACGAAGGTTAGTTAAGTATTTTAAATATTCTCAATTCAGAGGAAAAAGTGAAGAGGAGGGAAAAAAATTGAATCAATATTGAAATTTCGATATCGCGGGCACTTCAGCGACAATAATAAAAACAAGTTTTTTGGGATCGCCTCTGTAGAAATCAGCTTTAGTCGCTTCTTCCTATAAACACCACAAATCCATTCCAATTATGGCATTAGTTTCAGGCTTCACTTTCCAAAAACTGATACCTAAAATTCTCTTTAAGTGCAAGAAACACAAGACACTTGCTACATCTTCATTAAAGACAAATTAACGACGAAAAAAAGAAGCAGAGAGAAAAGAAAATCCTTTGTAATATAGTAGGATAAATATAATAAATTATTATTATCGTCCTATTCGAAAGGACTTTGTACGATACCGCCAATTACGAACTAATGCGATTGCGTCTGTGAGATTTAAATAAAAAATTATCAATACCTAATTTACAAAAAAAAAATTTTTTTATTTTTTTATAAAGAAATTATAAATAAATTTACTGACCACTTGGTAGGCATTGTAAATTTACTCAATTGATAATTTATTCAATAATGTGAATCTATTCCTAATATAAAACTAAAAAAAACATTGTCCACTGTCGAAAATTTTGGAATTGTTAAATTTTCTTCTTATTTATTATTTAAAATGTTGTTTTTAAAGCAAAATTTTGAATTAGTCTAAAAAATGTCTTTACTATTTTATTTATTTACCTTTGTTGATTTTATTGAAACAAATTCTTAATTAATTATACAGAAAAATTATTAAATTTTACCTTTTTTATAATTTAGAAAAAAAAACTGTTCTATCGTACAAAACAGACTTTTATTAATTTTTAATATTAATAAATATTTTTAAATAAATTTTTTATCAAATTTGATTATATATTTGGAATAAATTCTAAGAAAAATAATAAATATTCTTTAAACTTATTAAAATTACAATATATGTTTATAAAAAATTATGTAAATTATTTAAATATAATTAAAAATACAATATTTAATAAACAATTAAATTTAGCAATTTAAAATCTAGAAAAAAATTGATTTATTGCATTTTTAATTAATTTAAAATTAATAATAAAAAAGGTTAAGTTTCGAATAATTTGTAATTAAAAAATAGAAAAATAATTTGCAAAAAGAATTATTTTATCAAAAGAAAAATTATAATTAGTAAAAATAATTAAATTATTATTAAATTTGCGTATAAAAAAATACTGCACGAGTATAAATGGCCATAATGTTGAGTCCGATTGCGCAATATATATTTATTGTAATAAGCTTTAAATGCTAATTGAATGTAAACGACATTGCGAATAAAATCACCGCGCACATTGCAGGAATTTTTTTGTTATATTCACTGTATAATATTTGTAATATAGCGTGTCCCTAAACTAAAAAAAAAATTGTCCAGAAACTTTTTGTGCCCCAGTATCAGAATTTTTCTGACAAGAAAAGAAAAAACAGGGGATTATGTATAATTGGATTGCCTTTAATTCTTAAAATGCTAATAATTGTCCAAATAGAATATTATATTTGCGAAACACCTTATAAACTGGTGAATTAATTCTTCATAGAAAGAAAAGAGAGATAAAAAAATTGTAAGCTTTATTAAAAAAAAGCAATCGCAAAGTAGAATTTACCTTTTATTCCAAATATTGTTGGTTGATGTTTTATTGTTCAGCTGACTAATATCAACAATTTTTAATATCAAAATGTCGCAATCGCAAACGGTATGAGCAAATACAAAAAAGAATAAAAAAAATAAGAAACTTTTAAATTTATATAAAAAAAGAAAACAATTGTCATCAACGATTTTTCGACCAACGCTTCGTTCTCAGTGTCAAATTAATAAAAAAAATTCAAGAAAGTGAACAAAAAATAAGTAGATACAAAATGCAAAATTTTTTAAAACCGTAGATTGGCAGTCAAAATCGAAGACGCGCAAAATTGGAAATTTTTTCTAATTTTATTTGCTTTTCTCATGACATTCTATAGGGATTACAATTTTATTTTTAAAAGAATGCACTTTTCTAAAAAGTAATTAATACTTTAATTATTTTTGAAAGGTTCTTTAATTATTTACACTAATAAAAGTTATTAAACTTAATTTTTAATTAATTAAAATTATAAATTTATTTAATTAATATTTATTTAATAAATTATTTCTTGTAATTCATTAAATAATTTTTTAAATTCCAAAAAATTCTTATTTGAAGAAAATGTTAAATTACTTCATAAATATCTATTACAAAAAATTTAAACAATCACAAAAAGAAAGATTTAAATTCACATTTCCTGGAAAATAAAGAGAATCATCTCTCATTACAGACCAATTTTGCACGATCTATAAAATATATACCGTAAGAAAAATAAAAAAAACGTCGATTAGATACACGTGCATTCGCAGATATTTAAACTTCCCGCATTTTTAACTTTATATTATAGTAAATAACAGAGTCGGTATAATATTATATATAAACGAATAACTTATACAATTATTAATAATAATATTTATAATAGTTGTAAAAATTGACTTCCGAGTGGT